AAAAGGGGAGGGGGATTGGGGAGAGGGGGAGAGCGCAATTTCTTTGACCTCTTTTGAAGCGTAAAGCTTTTTTTATTACGGCTGAATGAGGGTTCCAATTTTCTCCAAAGTGCCTTCTGGATCTGAACAACTAAGCGAATTTCTTTAGTCCGTGAGTGTAATGTTTTTCTGCAATGTCGAGTGTGGACAATTGATTGACAGTAAGCGTAATCGGATTACTAGAAAATTGGTAGGCGTTATGCAAAAACATAGGCTCTTAGAGCAGGCGCTCCCTTCCCTTTTCCCTTTCTCCCTCCCCCCTCCCCCTCCCCTTTTTGCGCCTGCCACGCAGGCTAAAAGGACTGGAAAGAAGAAGTGTGGCTTTTACTTCGGGTAGAAGAGCACAGAACGCGTCATCAGAATGGAATGGGCAAAAGAGAACCATTATCGTTAATTTATGACAAATGTATGTAACCGGGTAGTCGTAAGAGAGACAAACGTATGCATTGACATGAACGCACTACAATGTCTTGTCACGGTAGAATCGAGTACTTTTAGTTGCTAACTTTGGAAGTGTGGAAATGTGGAAATGTGGAAATGTCGAAATATGTCTTCATTGTCTTAATTTATCTAATAACTCTGGAAGCGTGGAAGTGTGGAAATGTGGAAATGTGGAAATATGTCTTCATTGTCTTTGTCTCAAAACTCTGGAAGTGTGGAAATGTGGAAATGTGGAAATGTGGAAATATGTCTTCCTTGTCTTCATCTAAAAACGTTGCATTAACTCTGGAAGGATTGTGCACTTTCAGGGTGCTTCCAACATAAACTGCAGCACTGTTGTTTTTATCATTGATGTTTGCCGCTTTTCATAACCAGTCTCCTCTAATAACTATGGTGGAAATGTGGAAATATGTCTTCATTGTCTTAATTTATGTAATAACTCTGGAAGTGTGGAAATGTGGTTAATGTGGAAATATGTCTTCAATGTCTTTGTCTAATAACTCTGGAAGTGTGGAAATGTGGAAATGTGGAAATATGCCTTCCTTGTCTTTGTCTAATAACTCTGGAGGTCTGGAAGTGTGGAAGTGTGGAAATATGTCTTCAGTGTCTTTATCTAATAACTCTGGAAGTGTGGAAATGTGGAAATATGTCTTCAATGTCTTTATCTGATAACTCTGGAAGTGTGGAAATGTGGAAATGTTTCTCCACTGTCTTTATCTGTTAACACCGGAAGTGTGGAAATGTGCAGAAATGTGTCTTCGTTGTCTTTATCCAATAACTCTGGAAAACCATTGGGGATCCAGAATGTCAAATGCAACCACAGGCGACCCAAACTCATGTTACGAGGGAAGGGTGTAATTACATACCATAGGTGACGCGCCGGTGTCGCGTTACAGGCGACCGTTGAAAATATAAGAGACTTCGTATAAGAAATATATTACTGAGATCTGAGAACGATCTGAGAACGCTAAATAACGCTAAACCTTACTTTTTCTTAAATGAAATGAATAAAAAAGACTTACTTGCAATGTATTCCACTGCGTTTTGGTGTCTGATTGTCGTTTACTGGCTTGTTTGGCTTTATTGCGTAACCGCTGTTACATATACTCCTTTCATAGAACGAAGTGAAGGCTGGTCACTTCGATCTGTCGGGGTCCTGGACCAGTCACAACAAGAATGCCGTTTTTTCGCCGAAATTCAAATCCACTGCAAACTTTTCAGCTCCAGCCCAAGAGGGAGACCTCTTCTTCCTCTCTGGGAGATCAGCTCGAAAAAGAGGGTCTGAATGGGGGGGTCCACTTGTCGGTTGTCGGTTAAAATTTAGTTACTTTGTCGGTAGTCGGTTAAAATTTTCGATCTTTGTCGGTTGTCGGTTAATCTCAGTTAATAAGTAAAAATGCATGTTAATTATTAATATTTGTTATGCGTTTCACTCAGTTTCAAGACTTTTATCCCTATAAAACGTGTAAAACTTGTAAAAATGCATCATTTGATTGAACTCAAACTTCATTATGCAATATGATAGTTTATTTCACCTTTGTTTGCCAAAAAATTCCCGATAAAATCAAGAAAGCTTTTATTGCAAATACGAACTTGGTTTCCCTGTTGATTACAGGGCACCATAAAAAGTAATGAAGAGAGGTTAATTGGACACAGAGGGAAACGCCCACTCTAACCTTTTGAATACGTAAATTATTTTTGGTGAAAAACTGTAAGGGGTGACAGGTTGCACATCTGAAACCGTGTGTTGACCTTTAATATTTTGGCTCTAACAAGCATGTTCTTTGCCATGGTTTTCCTTTCTTGTAGGAAATAAGGGGTGGTTCTTTAAAAAAATAGCAAAGTAGCGGTTGGTTTTGTATGAGATTCCACTTTTCCATTAAAGCTTCTTTTACAGTAATAAGGGCTGGTATTTTGTCACGAAAAGTAACATTTCTTTTTCTTCCTTGCTGTTTTGTTTCAGGAGCGTGGACGTCGGTTTCCGTGAGCTTCATTTATTTCTGATTGCAATTTTTCTTTCAAACTGTGTTGGTAGCCTCTGTCCATCATCAACCATCAAGCGTTCTTTTGAATTTTGAAACACTTTCCTCAAACTCTTTTGACAAATCGGTGGGTGACCAGGGGCAAAATGTGTGCTGGAAGGTTTCCGTAGTCTTTACATCAAGGATAACTTTTTTGTTGAATCTTGTGCCTTTGTATACAACTGTGTCTAAAAACATTGTCTCAATGAATTTTGGTGGTGAATTTAATAGTAGGATGATGTGAGTTTGCTTCTTCGAAGAAAGTTACAGTCTGGTTTAGACTTTGTGTTTCACTATATGACATGAAAATGTTGGCAGAGGAAACTGCTGTCTTTGTGCCCATCGCGGTACGGTGGGTTTGTAGAAAGAGCTTTCCATTGAACTGGAATGAATTTTCTTTGAGGATTAATCTAAGCATTTCTTGCATGTAATGTGTAGGACTAGGCGGGTTGCTTTAGAAATTTTCATACGCTCTGCAAACCGATTTCAATACCCTCGTTTTGTGGTATATTTGTAGAAAGACTTGTGACGTGGTATCTTTGGTTACTTCCTAGAAAGGTAGAAAAAATACAAGATACTCTTCTTTCTGAAAAAAAAAATTACATATAGATAATGTCGGTCCATGTCGGTAGTCGGTTAATATTTTTCCTGTCGGTAGTCAGTAATTTTTTTCGCGTTTTGTCGGTAGTCGGTAATATTTTTTGCCCTTTGTCGCTAGTCGGTTAACCCCATTCACACCCTCGAAAAAAGATCCTTAATTTCCCTATCAAATCGAGCCATTTGTGCCGGACTTCAAGGCACGTCTGGCTTTCGTCCAGTCCCTGTGACCACTGTCGCCCTTACCAACTAATTTGCATTATGACAATTAGCACTTACACGACGGGTGCAAGCACTCGCTTTTTCGCAGTGCAAGAGCCTAGTTGACGTGTCATTTCCGCCCTGGCACCCGTCGTGTAAGTGCTAATTGTCATAGCAAATTAGTTTATAAGCGCGACAGTGGTAAGTACAGGTAAGTCTTTTTTATTCATTTCATTTAAGAAAAAGTAAGGTTTAGCGTTATTTAGCATTCGCAGATCTCAGTAATACATTTCTCATACAAAGTCTCTTATATTTTCAAGGGTCGCCTGTAACGCGACACCGGCGCGTCACCTACATTGTATGGTATGTAAAGTACATTACACCCTTCCCTCGTAACTTGAGTTTGCACAGGGTCCAGAGGAGATGTGTTTGTCGTTAGAACATCAAAACCCGTCGAAAACCTCTGAATAAATGGGTTATTTAGATCACGTTACAGTTTCGTTACACATTCTATAGACCGCAAACCAAGAGACTGAGGGCTCGCAAGATCGGCTTACAGTATAATATACGGAAAGGGAGGAAACAAATTTTGGGGCCGATTTTCGAATCCCTGAAACTCAAATGGAATTGAATGAAACCGCCTGATTTTACTAACCTGATCTGTCCTTTCTTTTACTCGGCACTTCGTGCGACGGCCTTCGGTCACCCTTCGAGCGACGTGCCGTGCGCCAGCGAGGATATGGCTTGCGGTTATTGATTTTCAAAAGTCGATCCGGGTCAGATAAGAAGCGAAGAAATCGTTTACAGTATTAAATTTATAAAGATTCCATTGGGCTAATTAATCGTGCTAAGCGACAGGTATAGACATTTTTCAAGGTGAGACTTTAAATAAGTAATTCATTTATTCACAAGAAACTCCTCTGGACCCTGTGGAGTTTGGGCTGCCTGTGATGCAACGATTGACATTATCAATTTCGGCGGTGACAATCAAAGAGAACTGGAAACAAGTGGGGATAGATCATGTTCTTTACATCAACTAGAATGTAAAGAGGGACTGAAAGTGAGCTACTTTTCTTTAGATGATGGCCTGTACCGCCACCGAAATGATCCCCACCATCGAAATGATCCCCGCCACCGAAATGATCCCCAATCACCACCGAAATGATCTCCACCACCGAAATGATCTCCAATCACCACCGAAATGATCCCGTCATAAATTTTTGGAACCGGGGATCATTTCGATGTTAGAGCATGGTGCCGGGCTATAAAATGTCAGCACATTTTGTCACACTATTCTTTTATCATTTCGGTGGCAATTTTGCAAAATAAAGTGCGGTAAAAGGGTTAAATACCGTAAAAAAGATCCAATATAAATAAATGGCCTAACCGACGGACATACTGAAGATATTAACGAATTTCTTTCCTCCTTGGGACATTGTTTCGAGGAAGCCGATAAGGCTTTAAAAGATGAATGCAATTCTGTCCCTCTGGATTATACAGAAAGCAGACTCGAGGACCACCTTCAAATTGTCAATGCAATTGCAATTGCTAGCTTGTTTCAAACCTACAGACGTTTTCTCAAAGCTTGCTGTATGAAATCTATACCAATAAGGTTCAGAGAGAGGCAAGCAGTGTTAAGTCAACAGCTTGGGTTCCTAGTAAAGAAGCAAGTACCGGAGGAAGACCTAGTATAGATGCAGGATAACCAAAGATCAAATCGAAACTCTGCGAGAAACTAGGATGAGTTGGAAAAGAATAGCACTTACACTTGGGATAATTGTAAGTGACAGTACGTTGTATCGTCGTAGACAGGAACTTGGACGTCATGAAAGCTTTGTAGACATCTGCTATGAGGAACTTTACACTGTCATCATGGGAATGTTGACGCAGACACCTTATGCTGGTGAGTCATATTATGTCAGTGGTGGTTTGCGAGCTCGTGGTATTTGTTTAGGTAACGGCATGATTTGTGGTGATATTTGGCATAAATACCACGGGTGATATTTCGAATTTGTCATACGAAATTTCACGAGCCATTAGGTGACAATTTTGAAATATCCCGAGTGGTATTTATGGCAAATATCACGTGCAAATCATGCTCTCCTTTGTTTATACTACTACCCACACATGGTTTGTAATTTTCACATGTAGGTATTTCAAATTAAGCTGAAATACCACTGCTCTAAGCCAATCAAATTGCAAAAATTTCTCATGTAGTAGTATAATTGTACAAAGACGCCGAATAAGAGAAGTTCTCAGAACGATTGATCCTGTTGGCAGCGCATTGCGTAGGAGAGCTGCTATTCAAAGGAGGCAGTACAATGTCAGAGCTCCTAATCATGATTATGTGGCACATTGATGGCAACCATAAACTGGTCAGTTGGAGGTTTGTTGTACATGGTTGTACAGATGGCTATAGCAGGGCAATTGTATACTTAAAGTGTGCACCTAACAACTTGGCATCTACAGTCTTACGATATTTTATTGAGGGAACCCATGAGTTTGGATTGCCTCTGCGTGTGAGGGGTGACCATGGAGTCGAAAATGTTGAGGTTGCAAGGTTTATGGTTGAGAGGAGAGGTGTCAATCGAGGTAGTTTTATGTAGTGTCCACAATGTCAGAATTGAGAGACTTTGGTGGGAGATGAACATGTTCGTCACTGCCTTTTACAAGGACATCTTTCATTTCTTGGAAGATTCATGTTTGGTTAATTCTCACAGTGAGTTTGATCTTTTTGCTCTACACTAATCTATTTACCCAGGATCAATGCATCACTTGAGGAGTTTGTTTGTTGAGCAGTGGAACTTCCATGGTATAAGCACTGCAGGATATCAGTCCCCAATGGCTTTGTGGTATGCAGGTATTATGCACAGTATGGATGACGCAGTAGTTTACGAACCAGATGCTTATGGTATTGATTTTGAATCTGGTTTTTCAGAGATTGATGATGATTGCAGTGTTGTTGTTCCTGACAATCAAATACAGCTAACCGAGGAAGAAAAGCTAAGAAATGACCATTCTGAGGAGACAGGTTCCTGATCCTTTATACGATGATGGGAACTCTGGTATTGATCTCTATGTTGATGTTTGCAGTGTGTTATCAAGACAATCACTGAGAAACATGCCTTTGTGAAACTTTGATAACCTTTTATCTGAAGGTATTACATGTTAAAAAGTCAGCATTGTGAAGAAGAGAGTTCAATTAATTTCAAGCTTAAACATTCAACATTATAGCTTTGTTTGGAAGCATCCTTTTGTGTATAATAATATTATTATTGTTAAAAAACAATAACACTATCACCAAATCAGTAGCAGAGGTAGATCGAGGATTTTTTTGTGAGGAGTCCAAACTGGAATATCCATCCTTCCTTGCCACACATTTCTTGGTTATAACACGGGTAGTTCAAATAAATTTCTGCCTTTCTGCCGTACCAACATAAGACAGTTTTCTGTTTTTTTTTTTCAAGGTCCTGTTTTCTTTATTAAGCTAAAGACAAGACAAGACAATGCTTTATTTGGAGTCTTATACAGTCCTAATGCTTTCATTTGTGATGCCCCCTCCTTCAGTATTTGTTCCAATCCAGAGTTAAAAACTTTCTTCTTTCCTGTTATTGAATTCTTAACTTAAACTAGTCTTTGGTTAGTTTTTTGTTACTACACGTATTTTTAATTCACTGCCCATGAATTTTCTTTGTGACTGGGGAGCCCAGGCTTCATAAGCCTTCTGGTTTCTTCTGGGCTCCCTTGCCAACTTACAATGCAAGAATACATATAACAATTATTCTTATATGTATTCTTGCATTGTAATTATTTACTTTGGCTAAATAAAGACTGAACTGAACTGAACTGAGGTGTTAGCAGGGAGAACTGACAGGTAATAAACAGACCATAAAGGGATGTGAAAAAAAAAGAACTTTGAGCTTAAAAATTCAAGACTGTTTGTTGCACAAAAATACTTACTTGATTACAAATTCTTTTGTCAATTAATCTTAACCCCCCTGCCCCTCAACTCTGAGAAGACTCGGTGAAAGTAAAGGACACAAAAAGAGATAGTGAAAAAAGCATCAGGGTTAACAAGGTTTATTGGTTTATTGTAAGAACATAAACAACACGCTCACTCCATACAGTCTGTAGCTAGGAACAATAACTGAATTTTAAACTTCATTTCTTCTCTTATGTTTGAGAGATCTTAGGGCACTTACCAAAAGGCAAAAATAACTGGCTGGACCTCCAGTAAATTAAATAAAGAAATAAAAATAATAAAAGGTTTCACTGAAAACCTATTACTGCTGTTCACACCATTTTGGCTCTTTTAGAAGTCATTGTATACTTAACTGGCTGGACAGTTTTGATTCATAGTAAAAATAAACAGCCAAGGCCTATCAGTTGCTACTTATGGAAGGTGCCCAAAGGTTAATATTTGCTTCTTAGGTAAAATTTGAACTGCTAATTAAAAGTAATATTAACAATAAAGTGGTTGACTCTTTGTATAGTAGATATACAAAAGTTGGCAATGTCACCAAGGCTTTACTGAGTCACAGCTTTAGGCTAACTTTTCCAACATCCATAAATAAATGGTGAGGGTTTCTTACCCTTAGCATGAAAGATATACAATGGTGTATAAACAACAGGGAATTAAATAACAGCAAAGCATATGCAAAACATCTGTTAGTAGTAACAACAAGGACATTTCAGGTACTTTCATGAAGGACAAAAATGTAGTATCTTACAGTATTTTATTTTTTCAACCCCTTATGAGTTTCTGATTTTATACCTTCAAAATCATTATGATCAATAAAGGATGACAACTCCAGATCATTTGTGCATTTTGGCATCTGGTCAACTACACTTGTACTTGGGCTTTCTGTATATAAATAAAGGCATCAAAACATAATTTTCAGTAGTTTTCAAAGTTTTGTTTTGTTTTTGAAGTTGTATATTATGGTGTCAGAGTACAGTGCTAATAGGCAGCATCTATTCTCTTTATTTCCCAAGACAATATTCAGTAAATATTTTACCGTCATGAGCAGCATCCAACATCTGTGGAAGATCCTCTTCAGCCTCTTCAACTAAAAAATTTGAAAACGAAAAATGCAATCTATGAATTCCCAACCAGCCCTCTCAAGGTGGCAGGCAAGTAATGCACACAATGTCTTGGGCTTGCATCAGTCACTGATCAGTGGTTGGCTGGTTTACATTAACTGGACGGCATATTTTATTCACGATATTATACAAGTAAACAAGTCCCGAGGGTGCTAAAATGTAGATACAGTAAAAACCCGCGTATAAGAACCTAACATTTAAGAACCTGTTAGGCTAAAATTTCATTTTTAAGCACCCTTCACATAAGAACCATTTTAGGCTACAATCCTAAACCAGGTTCTTATTTTCAAAAAAATATATATATATATAGAATTAAGAAATTTTCTCAAAAAAAAAAATATGTATATATATAACACAGTCTGTATGCGATAATACACTATAGCATGGTTACATAAAACGTTACCATAGGTTTGATTGTAACAGAATCAGATTAAAATAGTATAGTATTTTGCTTAACGAAGCCTCCAAGAATACTGTTTTTGGACATTAAACACCAGATCATTTAAAAATTCAGCTTTATTTCTTGAACAAAAGTTAGGAACCTAATTAAGAACCTAGTTAGCCTAATTTTACACTAAATACCATTTATATAAGAACCTGTTTAGGCTAACTTGGAAAAACCTAGGTTCTTATACTGTAGCACATCAATCCACATGAGAAGTTTACCTTTGGACTCTGAGGTACAGGGTCATTCTCCTGATTTTCTTCTAAGGATCTCTTCATGCTGAAACTGCTGTCATCACATTATTTGTTCTAATGGTCTGATGTATATAGGCTTTTCCTTAAATATTCTGTGCACCATTACGCCGTTTAGAACTTGACCAGGAGCAAGAGTCGGTTTCACCAAGGTCCTGTGGACGGGCATGAGAATCTCGAAATCTACACCATCTGGAATTTTCTCTTCAAATGCTTCTTTCAGGCAAGCTTCAAGCACACACTCTGACCACTCTTTTTGCAACTGAAAACCAGAAATCACATGGCCGTTCTCCATTAACCACACTCTCTTCCCCTGCCTTGGGACGCTGTTAATATCTGGACCGGTTAGCAATATCACATCTCTCATGAAAGGCCCTTTAACGACCGATTTCCCTTTTCCTTTACCGCGAAATGGGTCGTGTCCAGAAGTGATAAATTGCCTTCGAAAGTTCGGCATGTAAGTGTTCGGCTGGAAGAGCTAGAACTTCCAGAGGAACCGGCTTGATTAAGTGGATTAGGGCTTGTTTTCCTAGTAACTTCACTGCCAAGGATCGTAGAGAGTTCATATGCTTTCTGTTAAAGTTCTTCTAGTATTTTTTTTACCCCGGCTTTTCAGACGAGTTCCCACTGGATGCCATCTTCTTCGGAAAATTGGCGCGAAATCTAGGGCGCGAAAGTACCTTCTACTTTATGTAAGGAACATGATTTATCCCCAGTTGTTTCCAGTTCCTCTTGAGCCTGTGTAGCAATTAGCAAGCGTAGTTAAAGCGGGAGCAAAAAAAGAGGTGGAAGGGGGAGGGGAGAAGAGGAAACCTTCTTTCCCCTCCCCCTTCCCCGTCATTTCCTGTTTTTTTTTTTTTTTTGCCCTCGTCCCAACTTTTCTCGACGAACTCGCGCGGAAACGCTTGCTACGCAGGCTAAGTTCTCTTTGATTGTCACCGCCAAAATCGATAATTTCGATCGTTGCATTTGACATTCTGGATCCCCAATCGACACTTCTTCTTTCCAGTCCTTTCGATCTTCAGAGCTCATTACCGATCTTTCTTTCGACCACAGCGATTCACGGATTGCCGGTTTCTAATATACAAACCCTGTTTAGATAATAGCCATCGTGGTTCTCATAAATCAGGGGCACCCAACGACAATTTTCGGAAAATATCTGTTCGGAAGACGATTTGAGATCTACAATTTTCGGAACATTTGTTGTAAAATTTCTTGCTTGCCTGCCTCTCCTAGGATTTTCGAACATCTAAATAATGGTATAATTGCCTATTTTTAACGGAGTTTTACCCTAAAAAGGTCAACTAGAATTTTCGGGAGCCTTTTTTCTGGCTGGAATTTTCGAAAAGGTAAGTTTTGATCCCTATAATTTTCAGATCATTAGACTTTCAGCTAGGAAATCCGAACAGATGAAAAATTTTTAGGGGATAAAAATATGCCTATATCTACCGTTTAACTTGTGACTAAAATACGTTTAACAATGCTATGTTTAAGTGGTTTTGAACTATATTCTCGTTGGGTGCCCCTGATAAATCAATCGATAATCTCAACTATAAAGATCTTCATTCTCAACCACCGATCGAAAAACTCAGTCGTAGCGATCGTGATCTTTATCATCAATCGAGCATTCGTACCACTTTTGAATGATATGGCCTCCCATACCCTTCCCTACGCGGCTACTTCAATCCGACGTACATTCCTTTCTAAGGATACAGCCAGCCTAGCCAGTCAGAGTGCGGCTTTCATTTTCTTGCGAACACTCGCGTCAGAATTGTCCACCTATCATCTTGCTAGTTTTATTTGACAAGATCAAGCAGTTTTGTTATGACAAAATACAGTGAAACCTCTATTAAACGGAACACCCCCCCCGGAACTTATCGGTTTGTGTTGTCGATGGAACGCATACCATCAAAACTTGGACATGATTGATGAAATGAAACACTTACCAGGGGCATGAATTTAAAAAAACGTTTCACTATTGTATTGTTCGCCGTTCGAAGGCGACCTGAGGTCTGTTGTTTATGTCTCGTTGCTGCAGTAGAAAACGTGTCGGTACAGTTTGTGTTCTGAAGTTTAGGTCCGCTTAGTAAGACATTTCTACTCCAAAAACGGCTGCCACTTAGCGCAGTATAAGCAACGGTCATTTTCCAAGTAGGCTGTGATCGTTGGTGTCTGTACAGTTGTGGCTAAGTAAGCTCAGAGAACAATATTTTTAGTTTTTTTATAATACACAGCATGCATTCTTTAAAAGATACCCAGTTTTGACTTTCCCTGCTAGCAGAGGTCTCTCACGACGAGGCAAACCTCGTCGTGAGAGACCTCTGCTAGCAGGGAAGTTTTGACTTTGTTATTTTATTTATTGTGCCCGTGGTTAAAAACGATTTTAAGCTGTGTGTTAACCATCAGTTTATTGCTCCGTCGCTCTATAATCAGATAACCAAGCTGATCTTTATAACAGATATATTTAGACCCAGGATAAAATGTACAACTCTTTGCTGAGGTCTGATACTCTGTCTTCGGAAAGCGTTCATCTTTTAAAAAGTTTGCTGAATCTTCGTAAAGCGTACATCGATCTGTGTTTGCTGAATCGTCCAAAGCATTCATGAATCTTTCAGCAGTTTGCTGTTAAATTTTACGTGTTCTCCTAGTGATGGGCTCCTAGTGCTGTTTCCAAGCTTTGTTCATTTTGGCGCTTAACCCTATCCGCAAGCGGCCTTAAGGTCGGCAACACAACAGTATTTTGAGCCGACACTCAGATTTCCTTCCTTAAGAAGTCTTTGCAGCCAGTTTTATGGTCGCATAATTTGCCTTTTTTTCCCAGTTTTCTTTAATGTTGTCGTCTACTTCTATATTTCCCGTTTTTAAACCAGACGCTAACGTAAAACGCCCAATCCGAGCACATTCATTCGCGAATTAAAGTATTCACTTCAGATAACGGAATGCGCGTTCAAATCCACCTCGAATATGCCAAGCAGTTCCAACTCGCGTTGAGTGGGAAAACTGATGGAATCTCTCAGAAGGAGGTCAGACGCCTTAATACGCCTACTACTGTAAGTGGCATGAGCTGAGGTTGAAGGTTAAGGAACAAAGTGAATATGTGTTACATATTAGATTGTGTAGGCGTCATAAGGTGTCCGCGCTCCTTCTGAGAACTTTCATCTGGCACCAACATGGTCCTGGTCGCTTCGGCTCACGGTTAGTTACCAAGGCAACTCGTATGCTCCATTTACAGTTTATGACCCAGGATTAGTCAACCCAGCTTTGAACACGAAACTGTATTTGTAAGATTGGGAGGACTGGATTTACGTTTCAGACGAAAATGATGCTCTAAATATGGGGAAAACATCGTTTCTCTTTCGGCAGGGTAAAAATTGCATGTTAATGCTCGATTCATTTACCAAGTTTATTTCAGTGTAATAAGCTTAATAGATTTATACTATTTACAAAAATAAGTTGATAAGATAGAAAAGCAGGAAAAATTATGGAAAGATTAAAAACAAGAAAAATTGACGAACAGTTAACAAAAGTGACGTAAGAGGTATTCCATTTCAAAGCAACAGTTTTCACAATTTACAAGACAAGTTACACGCTATTATAAAATCCCTTAAATAGGCCGTTTCTCCGCAGTTACACAAACTAAATTGAGACATTTAGTGAATTATTATTGCACAGTTCTTGACATCAAGTATGCTTTTTCTGCTTCTATAGTTAGGCATTTTTTCAACGTGAAAGATTCCGTGACTCAAGGCCTCCGATCGCCGGAAATTTATGTTTCTTTGTGCTGGCTGTAATGCCAGTTACATTGGCGACACTACTCGCCACTTTTCCCCTCGCGTCCGTGAGCACCTTGTTTCGGACAAGGCTTCTCATGTCTACAAACACATTGCTTCACCTCAAGCTTGTACAGTCCTGTTCCACGGAATGTTTCACTATCCTTAATACCGCCGCCTCTGGATTCCACTTAAAAGATTAAGGAGGCGATGTATATAAAGTGGGAGAAACCTGTTCTAAATCAACAGGTGAAACATGTAAACCTGTCACTTTCCATGAATCCTAGCTGTTAATTATGCTTTTTCTTTTTCCCTCCTCATTGTTCGTCTGTCACATTTAGCTTCCAATGAAATCGCTGTAATTAGCATATTCAAATTGTAACGAGCTTCTCAGTACTACTGAAGATGGCATAAGTTTGCCGAAACATGTCTTGTCAATTAAAAACTGTTGTGTTATTTCTTCAAATCGTAACAAATTTTCTGCTCTCGCGTCCATTTGGTAACATTGTGTATCTATTAGTGAAGCATTGCACGATACCATTAAACTCTTTCGTGTTTCCTATGGTCAAGACACAATTTGAGTTTGAGCACATGTACCTGCGACCATTCAAATGAACACTCTACATGGCGCTACCGTGTCTCATCTACTTAGATCCCAGCCTCTAACATATAACTTATCACTTCCAAAAAAGGGCCTAACATCAGAGACAAAAAGTTGAATATTAAAAAGCAACCAGCCTCTCTTCAGCCCAAACTTTCAGTAGGCGCTTTGTATATCTATAAGAAGGGATGTTTTAGTATATATATATATACAGAAATACAAAAACTTTATATGCGACAATTATTTAAAGGAATTTCCGTAACCATATTCAGAATCAGATTCCTTAACAAGAAAACAAGAAGATGGCTTGCAGTTTTTTGTTACTCCTTACAACTGTTTTAATGTATATTACTTTTGAAACTACTGAAGTGTAATCATTTCCTCAGCAGACAAAAACTCTGGCATAAATAAGTTGTTGATAAAAATAGTCTATTAAACTAACAGTTCAAAGCATCAAAAATAGCCAAATAGAAGGACATTGCAATTGCTATTCAGTAGAATTCAATACTATACAAAATTTGGAACGTATCTCAAAGTTTGACTACTTGAGCTGTCTCCAGGAGTGAAAGACTTACCGCCGGTCGCAGCATCATCCGTACAAATTATAGAGAAGCTAGGCTGCAACTGCAAGTGGAGATTGTTTTTGTTAGCAGCGCGGCTTACAACTTTTGTTCGCAATAAATTTTTTAAAGTTGGCGAAGCAGAAAAGAAATCCTCTCTTGAAAGACGACCTCTGTTGGGTGTGTATACAGTCTTGGCTTGCAACGTAGCACTGGTTGTTGGCCAATAACTCGGTCCGTACCAGCAGTTAGTATAGAGCGTATTCACATGACGTCACGGCGGCCATATTGGTGTTTTAAACAAATCCTGTGGGAGTTGGACTCTTTTCTTATGTAAAAAATTTCTTTCGTTCCCATAAATTTGCATGGATGCTGGCCACGTGAGCGAATACTCTCTATTGCTGGCGAATTAAAAATTAAACACTCATTTACAAATGAAATAATAAGACATAAACTAAACCTGAAACTTGATATGAGACCTAGATTTACAAATTTCCCCCTCAGCCACCAGGCTATCATCACCCACAACTTGTAAATACAGTACACAAATTTCAAAGTACAACCAAGGTACAACAACTTCGGCGAATAAATAGAATGTCAACAAATCCTCATAATAAAAAGAGTTAAATATTTAATTTTATCACGATATTTGCTGATCAAAAGGCCTGATCATGGCTGTGAGAGTGCGAACGTAAGCAGTTTTGGTTCTGGCTACACACATACCTATGGGGCGTAGTGTGTATTTATCTCAGAACCGCAGTTTCAATCTTAGATAGAAACTAGGCTTAAAATCGTACTACAAGCCATGCTGACGGTTTTGATCTCAATGTGGCTTCCATTGTAACGTCTTCTCTTGAGGTCATACCGTCAACTCGAAAATTTGTTTTTTTCTCCAGACTGTCTTACCAATGCCTTTCGTACAACAGCAAAATTCTGTCAAATACTGCTGGAAGCATTTCTGGACATAACTCCTTTAAATCAATCTAAGGATTAAACTCTGGAAGCCTAGCTAACTCCTCGTCTTCATCATCTTCATCTTCACTGATGCTGCACCTTGGAGACAGTCGACATCCTCTTGCAATGTACTGTGGTAACTTGTTGATAGCTGCTAAAATCAATCCCAGGTAGGGAGGGGACGGTCTGACCGGTCTACTGATGTATTCTGGATGATATTGGACGCCAACAAAGTATGGGTGGTCTGAAATAAAAGGAACAGCTTATAAACGCCCGAAGAAATTCACAGCAGCAACAATTCTCTCCCCTGGAACAGTCTCTCTGAGTCTCAGTTCAGTTTCAATTTTTATACACACTCAATAAAAATTATAGTATTTACATTGACCAGAGAACAACATAGAATAAAATAACAAATCGGAGAAGAAAAGAAAGAATTAAATGGCTCTGAGAGGAGTGTACGGTGGTTTTCGGGCTAAACACCGCTATATTACGGAATCGAAATGCGTTTTTTAAACATGTGTGCTAGTGCCATGGTAGCTATGAACAATTATAAGAAACAGTCATTTTACGTTGTTACCTTTGAGTGTTAGTAAAATTCGCTTGCGTTGTTTTTTGAACTGGTAGTAGCTGAGTGTTTTTAGGCTAGTAGCAATCTCTTCCCGGAATATGGTTATGGCAAACTCAAATGAGTATTTGCCACAATTTGACCTTACAAGTGGTACATAAAAATTAAGATTTGAGGCATATCTGAATTTGGCCACTACGATAATTTTGTAAAATTTCAGTTATGACGCTGGGATAGTCTACCAAAAGATTCTATGTCAGAGTTCGTACTCTCTTTTGTTTGTTGTTGGTTCTCTCCCTTGATCCGAGGTTATTCTCCGGGTACTCCGGTTTTCCCCTCTCCTCAAAAACTAACATTTCCAAATTCCAATTCGACCAGGAATCTGGTAGACGAAGAACCACTTTGTGGATGTGCTACCTCCAAATCATTATTTATTTATTTATTTATTTATTCTTCTGAGCTCTTCAAATTCCATGACTTTTTCCATGAACTTGCCCAGTTTTCCATGGCCTTAGGTTTAGTGGTCACTTTCGAAACTACTTTTATTTTGGGGGGATTTTTTTTACCACACTCAGTTCAGCATACACAATCTGGTGTCCACCAAACGCGTGTCGTTCGCTCTGACTAACTAGTAGTATCTATCTCACTTTGTCCTTGCTTTGACATTGCAGTAACTAATCTACCAAACATAACTTAAAATTTTCCATGATATACCATGACCAACAATTAAATTTCATGATTTTCCAGGCCTGGAAAATCCTTTCCAGGTTTTCCATGACCTGGGTGAACCCTAAACACATACCTTTTAATTCCATGATTTCCATTCTTTCGCCTTCAACGTCTTTTCCAACAAACAGCATGCCATTCTCCTCTAACTGCTTGACATATTTTGGGTTAACCTTTGATTTAACACAAGGAAATTACTCTTTTTGGCCAAAAAGCCCTCGACAAATAAAAGTTACCTTGTGTACCACACTGTAAAAAATACGCACCTTCGTGCCAGTCAGTAACAAGACCGCCGTTATTAGTTGGAAGTAAACAGAAAGCTTGAAATTCCAATTATAAAGGTCGCTAGTTAAGTTTGCAAAAAGAAACGCTTCAACTGAGCTCAAGGCTTTTGAAAAGTCATTTTTCCCAAGGGTACGTCACCAGACACTAATTTGAAGATGTTGCTTTAGACCGACAAAGCAGTTATAATTGCCTTTCTCTATTTATTCCTTTTTTCTCGTTTTAAGAACAAAAATACACACTTTTAATAAGAGCCTTAAAGACTACGTCACTGTGTGCCCAAAGAGTAAATTTCGGGACACACAACCCCGAGGCTGAAGTACAACAAAACTTTTGGGCTACTTGCCAGGTTATACTTAAGGAAAATAAGGGAGTACAATTGCACTTGTCAGGCAACATTTAATTTATTTTATAAACAATAATTATAAAAAAGGTATAGGCCGAAAAAACTTTGCAGTCAATTTTAATTCCACAACCAGAAAAGTAACAATCTGCCCAAAGCCAGCAACATGTTAACGAAAAACCTGAGGTCAAGTCAATGAAATGCTTACAAAACTCATGCACAAGCGCAACTATTTCAGACTTTGAGAACAATAGCTACACTTGTAAAAACGACTCGAAGTTTTTTACATTCATTGACCAATGATGCACCTAAGAAAAAAAAAAGGTGATCAGGATCCTAGACCTAGGAAGGAGTGAAAAAAAAACACATTTTACCCTATAAAGTCTTTTACCTCATATCTGTGTCTGTGTCTCTCTTCGACAAAAGATGCGTTCTTGTAAAGCTTTCCTGTAACAGGAAAAATAACAATTTATTATTATTTTTCTTGTGTACCTCTATATATAGCAGCCTACTTAATGAAAATGTATTACTTGACCAAGGTTTTGGGCTTGCTTAAGTCACGGTCACTCTCAAATTGTCCCAGTCTTCCACGATGGATTGA